TGTTGTTGTCGAGCTACTCGGACTTGGTAGTAGAAGCACGATAGCTTTCTGGGTTGCTTTCGTTGCTCGGCTCGCAGGTACGAGGAGCTGGAGCCTCCACGAGAGTTTTCAGTCTGCTTGATCGACGTCAGGGATCAGGTCCTCTGACACACTCAAATGAGGAGGATAGTTCAACGAGCCAGTTGCTTGCCCGGCGGTGGCGAGGCGAGATCAGATTTAAGAATGTCTCTTTCGTGTGAGTCTTCCTAAGGAGCTCCTGTTCAACCCAATGATATCCTCCTGTGAAATCCAGGCAGTGTGGAGGGATGTGCACATAGTCAACTACATATGTTGGCGAATCGCCAATGGCGATAACAATATTTTGGAAAATCCCCGTTAGTTTCTGCACACTTGTATCATAATTCGTGGGCAAACTCTTGTACTGCGGCTTTGGGAACTGCTAGGCTCAACTGGGGAGAGCGAGCATATATTCCTCCAACACTGATTACCTCAGGTACCCATCCCGGCCATCCTCCTTCGTCCTTCGCAATCTGAGTCTAACTGCTCCAGGGGGAGAGTGCACTTGCTTGGTGGGAGAGTCAGGAGCTGGGAAGTCAACCATATTCCTTCTACTACAGAGGTGGGCGCGTCGCTGTATTATCGAATTTACTTGTATATGTCCCCCAGGCTTTATTCTTGCCCACCTGGTCGGATATTTATAGACGATATCGATGTGAATACGATACCCACCAGATTGCTGCGACGAAAGCTCCTCGGTTTGGTTGGTCAAGTGAGCCCCCCTCCTCCTCTCTTGCTGCATCGCGATATTGGTCCTCAGGAGCCGGTCCTTTTCCGAGGGTCTATACGATCTAATGTGCTCTATGGTGTTGATAATGGTGGTACTGATGATGCGGATAACGGCGACCATCGGTTACAACATGCCTTGAAGATCGGTCACTGCTTGGGTTTCGTCGGACAGCTCCCAGGAGGTGTTGACTGCGAGGTAAGCTGCCGATCGATGGAGATCTACCATGTACACCTCAGGTGGGCGAGCGCGCAGTGCAGCTGTCCGGCGGCCAGAAGCAGCGCCTCGCTATTGCTCGAGCTGTTGCTATGGACCCTCGAATACTCCTACTTGACGAAGCCACTTCAGCTTTAGATACCGAAAGCGAGCGACAGGTCTTCCGTCCTGCTAACCTCGCTGTTTGCAGTTCTTGTATGTAAGGTCCAAGAGGCCTTAGATGAGGCTATGGTGGGCCGTACTACTCTGTCAATCACCCACAGAGTCCTCAGTGCAGCTAGACTGGCCTCTACTGTGGTTGTGCTAGACAAGGGGAGGGTGGTAGGTTTAGTGGTGATGCTTCGGGGGGAGGACTCTATCGCAGGTGGAAACAGGAAAGCCCAATGAACTGTTGAAGGACCGGAAGTCGGCCTTCAAGTTGTTGCTCGATCGTCAGCAGTGCTTACCGTCATGATTTCACTTTTTCTCAAATTCTATTGCGTTCTTGGAGTCGTGCATCCACAACACAGTACTGCTGAGGAAATCGATTACAATGGCGCGCGCGAATTACAGATAGCGCGTCATGACTAACAGTTAGTCATTGCACTACTATAGTACCTTTGGATCCGTATTGTGTTCCGGTTGGAGCGGTGGTGAAAGTTCACGACGTTTATAAGGATGGGGCTGCATGCGGGATGGAATTTATCGCGATTTGATAGCTCGTTGGTACGGATATCTTATAAACTTACGTACGGCTGTTTTTGGGCCTGAAATGAATCTTGCTTTTTGTAAGATATTTTCCGCATCTGCCTCTTTACGAAATGTCCATTGCCAAGATCGACAACCGTCCTCAATGGCTCAAGGTGACCCAACCGTTCGCCTCAGGCGGGTTGGCGGGATGCCTGGCTACCTGCTGCATCCAGCCTATCGATATGGTTAAAGTAATAAGGCTTGTCTTCGGCTTGTTGCTGAGATTAGATTGTGGCTCAGGTGAGGATCCAAATTGCGCCCCCTGGGGCATCTAAGAACCCCTTCTCAATAGCTTCTCATATAGTCAAAGATGAGGGCTTTCTCCATCTCTATAAGGTAGGAAGGTGGAAGGCCCTTTGGGGTAGCTAGGCTCCATGTTTAGGGCCTCGACGCAGGGATAGTACGTCAGCTCACTTACACGACGACTCGATTGGGGGTTTTCCGTCTAACATCATCGTTCTTGCAAAAGCCTGATGAGAAGACCCTCCCCTTCTGGAAGAAGGCCTTTGCTGGTCTTTTTGCTGGGGCTGTTGGCTCCTTCGTCGGCACTCCAGCTGACCTAGCTCTAATTAGGCTTCAGGTAGGGAGGACAGTAGTTATTGTCGAAAGGGCATCTCACGTCGTCACTTTCAGGCTGATGCAACTTTGCCTATCGCCGATCGTCGTAACTACAAAGGAGTATTCGACGCGTTGAAGCAGATCGTTCAGCAGGAGGGCGTGACAGGCCTCTGGGCGGGCTCCCTCCCCACTGTCGTCAGGGCCATGGCTCTTAACGTTGGCATGTTGTCAACCTTCGATCAGGTGAGCCTCACTCTAGTATTGTTGCTCGTAGTAGTGGTTGATATGACTCGAAGGCTTGTGTGAGCTGGTGTTACTACCATAGTACTATAGTAGAAAGTCATATTTTTCTCTCATTTTAGGGCAAGGAGTATTTCACCGCTAAGTTCGGCCCCGGATGGGCAGCAACCCTTACCGCGTCAGCTTGCTCTGGCTTTGGTGCTGCGTTTATGTCCTTGCCCTTCGATTTCGTGAAGACTCGCATTCAGAAGATGAAGCCCGATGTGAACGGCATTATGCCGTATAAGGGCACTTGGGACTGCATTGTGAAGGTAGTAGTAATAGTAGTGCTTCCTATCGGTGACTGCATTTTGTCAGACTATGAAAACCGAAGGGCCCACCGCCTTCTATAGAGGCTTCCCTACTTACTATATTCGTATTGCGCCTCACTCGATGTTGGTACTTATTATAGTCGACTCCATCAACACTGCAGTCCAGAGGCACTATAACAAGGTTGACCAGTAGTCTCTGATAAGGGGCTGCGTATGGATGATGAGTAGTACTATTGCGCCGTAGAGTCGCTTGCTGGGCTAAGGCCGTATTCTTCGATAGAAGTGACCATGGTGTGGTATCACTCTAATTATCAGCAAACAAGTGTCAACCACAAGCCCGAGCGATAGCCCCTAACTGCTACTATTATAACGCCTTCTTCTTCGTCTCGTCGTCGTCGTAGTCGCTGTCGGGCTGCCCATACTCCCACCAATGCAGCATCAGCCAACACCTTTACCATTAATAGGTCTACAGCAGTTACTGGTCTAACGGTTGACGTTTCCGTAGCAGGCCACGAGTAGTTGTGTTGAAGAGTAGTGAATAATGTATGTGGTGCACATAGGATGATGATGGTTGTTTGGGGCCACCAACGACGAGGTTTCGCGGGGATGGTACGGAGCCGTAGAGACTTCTGGCAGAAACTCAATGAGCAATACCTCTCGAGTGAGTTGGCGCATATAGCTCGGGCTTGCGATGTAAGGACAGCGTGGGTGACTCGGTGGGAGTAGTAGGAGGATTCAGGAAGCAGCTAAAGGGAACGTACCTCCGAAAGAAGCGTGGCGGAAGTCTACTAGTGCGGTGCCTTTTGATCCCAAGATTCCGGGCTCGTTGAGGATGTAGTGACACGCGGTGGTGAGTTGATCTTCATGTTGGTATCAGACGTGGTTCGAAAGGGGTGGTTGCCGGTCCTATTATGGCACGTAATGCACAGAAAGCTGCTAAACTGCAGGCTGAGAAAGTCCTGTTGGAGGAAGAGTAGGTCGGAAAGTGTTGGGAAGTATTGCAGTGGGGGGCCAGGCACGAGAGGCTTATGTCACGACGGAGGGCTGGGGGAAGTGAAGAGGAGTCCTCAGCGAGGGAGCCTAGTGGTAGGCAGCAGCAATAGTGAAGGGGGGTCTTATGTAATGTTGTAGGGGATCAACAGTTTGGGAATAGTCGCGAAGGTGGAGACCGTCTGTGGAGGTTGGTGGCTGCTGCTGCCTTGGTTGCGTATGGCTATATCGGAGTCTAGGTATGAATCGAGGCGGCACGATCCGCGTTATCAGGATCTAGTGCATGAGGATGCGCGGCGCTTGCAGGAGTTATGTCATAGGAAAAGGATGATGGACAGGAAGCTGAAGTGGTTGAAGGAAAATAAGTAGCTCCTTGCGTGGGGTGATTTTCCCATTTTTGTATCAGTTTGCCTGATCCGGCTAAGGTGGCGAAGTACATGACGAGGGTGAAGAGGAGCCAAGAGAAGGAACCTGGAGGGGAAATGTATTGGTCGTTCGGTGTGGAAAAATATGCACATGTGTCGTTGACAGTAATCTCGATAAAATTGTGGTTTTGCATATTTACTTCTATAACGTGAGAAATCTGCCGAGCTCAGCTGAGGTGAGCGAACACATATTTCTCCAGCACTGGGGTTTAGGTATCCACCACCATTCCAAGTGGAATCGCCTAATGTGAGGAAGGAGACGAAGATGCTCTCACGTGGGTCTACGGGGAGGATGGGGAGTGTGGCAATAATTTGATTCCAGAAGCTGAAAGAGATACGTTGGAATCGAGATTGCGGACTAAAATCCGAGAGGAGAAAAAACTCAATGTTAGAGTAGGAAAGTTGCCCTTCTTGCTTCTCGCCTAGCGAGGGAGGGTGTGTTTTCTAGGTTTTACGACAGAGTGAGCCTGCTGTTGGTGAAGTTATCACAGATCCCATTGCGCGCCATAGAGCAATGCGGAAGCTCCGGACTAGGTCCATTATTAGCGTATTGATAGGAGGTCTATGAGCAGGACTGTTGGAGTTGGTGTTGCTGTTATCAGGAACATCTGGACGGTATCCTTACCTCTAACAGTGCACAGATAATGTGGTCCATGCTGGACGGCGCTACTATTAGTGTGGCTAAGATACACTCTGAGGGCCCTCGAGGGTAACAGGGCTTCAACGATTGCGATTCTCCCTTCCCCGTTCTGTTGTTGGTTTTCATCTGTATCGGTGTTGATGTACCTGTGCTCCAATTTAATACTTTTGAAGATTATAGTAATCATAACATTAGTAAAGGAATCTCCCCCTTCCCCAAGACTGTATAGGTGTCTCACACGCTTTTGTATGGTCAGGACGCACCGGATATTTTACAACCTCAACTCTGATCATGATCCAGAGGAAGTCCACCGGAAGCTCAATATCCTAGCACCGAAGATCAGAAGTCTACTTGCTGTCAAGTTGAATCTCGGAAGAACTCCACCACTGAAGTGAGTCATCCTCGCTGATATTAGCATGAATTGATTCCGGATTAGGTTCATACCAATTAGTCATTCGTTATCGAAAACGAAGCACCGTCTCGCGAAGTTGATTCGACGAGCCAACGAGGAGGGTGCGAAAGGACGGTTGATGGTGTCTGCCGAGGATATACGATCCCGGGAAGCAGCTCTCTGATGACATTTTCATGTGTGTCGAAATGTTTCCGTTGATTCTCGATGATTGTGTTGGGTCGGGTGAGTCGCAGTTGAATGGTTATGGGCTACGAAGAGAGGAGAATCCCAGTATTCGCTGCAGGGACGGTTTGTTTCTGCCTATTTTTTTAACCTTCCTAGGGGGCAGGCTGGTAGCAGCTAGCCCAAAGAGGCGTTGTAGCCGAGCTACCAAAACCACCAGCTCGTTGCCTTCAGATGCTATTGTACTGCCAGGCGCGGTCTTACCCGACTTCCCCGTAGAAAGACACCATTCAACTGAGTCACTGAAACTTGATCTACCCTACATTAAGTGACTGTTGTGTTTACTACGCCAGGCGGAACGGTGCGGGAATTATACCGTACTCCGCAGCTCCCAGAACAGATTAATGTAGCGTGAATTATACACTAACAACACTTCTGTCCATGACAAAGCTCACTGTGGATAGCGGGCTTAGCCTCCGTGGGTTCAAGTCCCATCGAGGTCGTTGCATGACCATTAGGCTAATGCCTTCATGTCTGGTTCCATGTTCTTCTCATGTCATGCCATATCTACAGACCATAAGCTACAGTCTTATGTTGTTCTTCATGGACCAAGAAGGAGAATTCAACCATTGAACGAACCGGGGGGATTTATGCAAGTTCTTCTTGCGCGCTCGACATACAACCCACACACTCAAATCATCGGTGATGGTCGGACTAAGACGCAGCCAGTTCGTAATTAGAACTTCTAGTCGATACCTCTCACACTCAACTTCCATCTAGTTGAGGCGAGGTGCGCGCAACACGAGAGCGTTCGTATCACCCATAAGAGCCTGATACATAGGGTCGCGTTCTTCGTACACCATGAACCCCTAGACTCAACGCGGAGAGTTCGATTGAGGAGACTACGGGTATAGAGGCATTACGAAAACTACGGGACGAGAAGGAAAGTCACCGAGCCTTAGAAAAGAGGAACAGTTCAATGCGAACTTGAGTTACACATATATAATGTTTTAACCAAGCATTGTTCACTAGCAGTCACATGACTCTGTGGTGCCCATACAGAGAGGAGGTTTTCTCCAGTACATACAATAGGAGCCCTGCTTGAGAGTAGCACATCGAAGGTCTTCCTGGGAACAGTCATCTTCATCGACACTTCGAGTTGTTGTAGATGACGGAATTTGACCAGGAGTACAGCTGCACGGTACGTTACTTCCTCGACAGACGTTCGGAAGCTTATTCGTCATACAAAAGGAGCCTGGGTAGCCCTCGGAACACTTCCGATCGGCCTCTTTGCAATCAGAGTGTCCGGAAGTAGTACTCTTGCTCGTCGAGAAGGATCCAGCAGCTGTAGTTCTAGCCCTGGAGCTACTGGCAGTACTGTCTGCATTGGTTGTCGTGGACGTAGTGGTAGTTCCTGCTTCGCATATGCTGTCATCAATGTCAATCGTCATCAGATCGATCGCGGGGAAGTTGAACATATCAACCGCATTATAGCGGCACTTGACTTGTTGGAGTCTTCGGTAGGTTTCCGCGTTGGGGAAAAACTGGTCAATCCACTTACGACCCTCAGCCAAGTCCAGGTCTACGCAGTTCTGATTTGAGGTACCGAGAGAGGCAGGGAAAACCGCATCATAGGGGTTCTGAATCCACTCGAGTTTGGCAGCGGGGGCGGGTTCATCTCTCCCCCAGCCTGTGAAAATCTCGAAAAGCCAACCAGGGCTCCGGTGATCAT